ATGTCCCACAACATTTTTACTACTTATTGCTCTTGACAGCTTTTGGTATTTTATAAATTGCTCTATATTTTAAGGTTAAACATCCACTTCATAGTCTATTTTGATCATTCAAGAACTTGTCTCCTCCCAGAAGCCACTGTACTTGATGGGGTCTGCCAATCTTTTTGTTCAATCACTCACACTCTACTCCCCACAAGGCAAGTGGGATAAATATACTGAGACTATGAGTATTCAAGTCTTGCCTATTAGAACTATTCTTAGTAATTGGCTTAATGATGGTGTTTTGTAATATCTGTGATAAAGACTAATTTACTATATCACTCTACAAATCAGAAAAAAATGACTCTATTAGACATGGTTTCTGAAGGTATAGACTTTCGAGAGGAATTTGAAATTATTAAGGAGCTTCAAGGGCATTAGCGCTAAAAATAAAACCATTAAATTTTCTAAACAAATGTAGCCAATATTGGTAGACGTGTGTGTGTGTGTGTGTGTGTGTGTGTGTGTGTGTGTGTGCACATGCAGTTTGTCTTTCCCCCACAGTCCCTAAAATTGGAAACACACACTAAGAGGAAGCAATAACACGGCAGTCAAATATTCGAAGTCCAATTTTTACCCAGGTTATTTCTAAATTTTGAAATATCATTTTTATGCCTCCATCTGAAAGTAGTTATATGACTTGAATTTCAGGGCTGTATTCTCTATAGTGTTTAATGAAAGCAATCTTTTTCTTAGTTATCTTAGGGGGATATAAAATGAAAAAAAGATTATGATAGGGATAATTTTCTATTCACTTTCCAAATTAATAATCAACATTCTTGTATTAACTCTCACCAGTTGGAAAACATGAACTTCCCCTGTAGGATTACCAGGTAGTAAATATAATATAGGAAGAAAAAAAAATCTCCTTCCGACTTAATCCAAATTATTTGAGTTTTTACCTTGCTTTTCTCAATTTCTATTTTTTCTCATCTCTGAACTCAGAAAATGAGATATCATCTTTGTAAAAGGGAAAGCCTGAAGCCACTTCCCTGTCCTTGAAACTCTGAGTTAATTCCTTTCTGAAACAGATCAATGCCCATCAACATTGCTGGCCCCATCACACCCCAGTCATTCTCGATGATAAAGCAGAAGAGGTGACACACATGGTCAGCTGCCCCTTGAGAGAGAGATATGTTATCTTAATAGCATTCATTCCAAATCTACAGTGTATGTCATGGTTGTTTGGCTTGAAATGCTCTGTATCTTCCAATATCATTCAGGAAGTTGTCAACAAAATACGGTATTTGAACCCTATCACAGGATCCCAGCAAGAGGCTTTCAGAGCTCCCAGAAGTTGGTTTGGCATTTTCTTATTATTGTTTATTTTCACCTTTATGATGTTAAATGTTAAGAACAACAAATTGTTTCAAAAATCAAATACTAGAGAAGTATAATAAGTGCATAGCACTAAGTGGATAGTGGCATGTCTATTTCAGCTGAATTCTAAACTATTCTAAAACTTTTAAAACTTTCAAAATATTATCCATTTTGGTATTAATTTTCATCTTAGGAATTATGTTCTAAATCTATTAAAAACATTGGAAAAATCATGAATTGTGTTATTTTATGATTATAATATTACGTTGACATACTGATGACATTTGCAGATGCCAATACATCAGTAAGAATTCTGTGTGTATTAACATAGTGACTTTGGAAAATCACAGATAGTATAACCCAGCCCATCAAGAAGTACTGTACACTTTTTATCTGTTATCTCTGAGCAAATGATTAATTCTTCTGAAGCTATTTGGGCTAATATCTATTATTACTTACCATATCCTACAGATATTAGAGTTAAGTCTATGCCTTCTGCCAATAAACACCATTTAAGTTAATGGTAGCATTCAATGGAATCAAGAAACATGAACATTAAAGTCAAAAGTGAATCTTGGATAATTCCTCTTTCACAGTTGAATCTATCTAGTACTGACCTTTGAAATGTACTACAATTTTGGGGACAGAATAGAAGCTAATTCTACATAAACTCATGAACATTGTAGAATTTCAAAACACATTTCCCAATTTCTTCATCAATGGCTCATCTAGTGATGGTAGTAAAGCAGAAAAGATGAGTTCTCAGATGAGACTATATTATAGAAGAAACTGTCTAGATTAAGCTTGTTTTATTACTGAAATAAGTCATTTTAAAATTACCTTGCCATTTAAATTGGGCTTAGTTTCTTTCCATGTGCAACATGAATTATCATATTTTAATCTTCAAAATACTGAACAGAGAATCAATGCCAAAACAAAATTACACTTAAAACACTGCCACTTTTTTATCTTTGGCAATTAGACATGTCTTAAATAAATAACTCTTCTAGCATGCTAATGTATAACTAAAAAAATATGTGTAGTCCTTAAAGAAATATAAAAGTTGTAGGAATTGCTATTGACTCAAGAAACCAGAGGTGATGCCTGTGTGGGAATGATTATCTCCACAAGAAAGCAACATTCACTTATAGAAATATTTGGTTAACAACTTAGGTAGTCGAGATTTACATGCAAAACAAAGCAATCTTTGAAAGCCATTTAGTGTTGAGGGAAAATAAAGCATCAAATAACTTAGCCATAACAGGGACTTAGAGAGTCTGCCTTTGCTAAAAATACCCAAAAGGTAACTGAAAATTGGATGAACCTTGGCATCTCTGTCTTCATTTTGTATCTATCTGCTTAATTACCTTAAACTTTGTGTCAGGTCTCTGCTCAGCATGTTAATCATTTAAGGAGTGTTCATCTATAAAATAGTACTACAAGGGTTTATTAGACCCAAATGTATCTAAATCTCATCCCCCTTCAACACTGAGGTAAGATTTGCAGGGACATTCTAACGTCAGATTTATAGCATCAGACTCCCAGAGCGGTCATCGCCCACTACCAGGATCACAGGTCTGATAAAATAAAAAAATTTTTAAAAAGCAGGGTGCACTGGTGCATGCCAGTAATCCCAGTGGCTTGAGATGCTGAGGCAGGAGAATTGAGAGTTCAAAACCAGTCTCAGCAACAGCAAGGTACTAAGTAACTCAGTGAGATCCTGTCTCCAAATAAAGTACAAAATAGGGCTGGAGATGAGGCTCAGTGGTGGCATGCCCCTAAGTTCAATCAATACCTGATACAAAAAAAAAAAAAACAGGAAAAAGCCCTGAACAACACATAGAAATTGCCCCATCAGATGATAAAGACTTCTCCAGAGCTACCTTGCAGAGCCAAAACTGAGAATCATCAACCAGACCACAGTTGGACCAAGGCTGCTGAATTATGCATACTCCTTACCTGCTGCCTCAATTATTGCTCTGTTGAAACCTGAAGCTTGTGTTTGCAGCCTGAAGGGACACGGACAAGATGCTGGATCTCAATTTGCCTTCCAAATGTTGACTTAAAGTTTTCTTTCCTGCTTTTACCATCATATTTTCTGCTTTCTTTGGGGGGTGGGCAGTGGCCATAACATGTTTTTTTTTTTTTTTTTTGGACTCCCAGAGTCAAGCATCTGGCCTAGAACCCTGGTAATATAGCTAGTCCTAAAATTATTAGATGCCATTGTATTCTAACATATCACAAATAGCAACTCTTTGAAGAATATCAGTAAACTGAATCTCCTCTCATTTAAATAAGCATGCTCGTCTATGTATTTCATAAAGGTAGCAATCCTGCATTCAACAGTTCAAAGAATCTCAAAAACACTAAAATATTGACCCTCGGGCTGGGGATGTGGCTCAAGCAGTAGCGCACTCGCCTGGCATGCGTGCGGCCCGGGTTCGATCCTCAGCACCACATACAAACAAAGATGTTGTGTCTGCCGAGAACTAAAAAATAAAATATTAAAAGTTCTCTATCTCTCTCTCTCTCCTCTCTCACTCTCTCTTTAAAAAAAAATTAAAAAAAAATAAAATATTGACCCTCACAGAATATCAGATGGTGACACCAATAATTTCCATTTGCAGATATAGAAAATAGGACAAGGAGGTGAAATGAATAAAATCCAGGCATTTAGTCTTGTACTTTTTATTGCAACAGTGACCTCCTCTTGTTTCTTATTAAAAAGGAAGCTATTCTCTTTAAATCATATAATCTCTTAGAACAGAAAAACTGCCAGAAAATTAAAGTGGCTTTGGGTCTTTGTTTTCATGACCATGTTTCTCTAATGAGGTTATAATTGTCTTCTTCAAGGCCTTCCTTAAACACTTTATGGATTTTTTTATCCATAAGACTCTTTCTCAATCTTTATTTCTTACCCTATATTTTAAGAGTTCCTGATCAGATTATCATGGGGAACCGCCAGGGCAATGGGATTTTTTTTAAAAGCTCCCTAGGTTATTCTATGTGCACAAAGTTTAAAAACAGCTTCTGTATACTATATATTCTGTAGAAAAATAAAAATAGACACAGTCTAGATTGTTCCAATAATTGGCCTAATTCTTCACAAAGTAATATAATCTTAGAGACTTACATAGTTGATAATGGGTAGGAAATGTAGTTTCCGTAAGATATCTATCATTTCTTTATAGTTGAATCATATATGTAATAAACAATAATAAAAATCCAATTTTGCAAGATGAGGTTGTTCATGCTCCTTGAAACTCAAATGGGAACACACTTTTCCTAGACCTAAACAACATCATCTTTAGGCTTTAGCCCAGCTTTCCCACCCCTCCTCAGCTAGGGACCTACTCCTAAACATGACTTCTGCGGCATGCTAGGCAGCTGAACCTTTCAGTGTTTGCTGGGGGAGAAAAAGCACTAAGTTTCTTCAGTCTCCCACTCAAGAGCCCTTTATATTTTAGGATAATTAGCATATTCCACCCCCCCTTTTTTTGGCTTTCCTAGAAAAAGAGATGGATTTCATCTGAATCATTGTCCATCTAGATTCTAATTACAATTATTTCTATCATTCAGTGTTCCAGTTATCTACTTCTATATTAAAAATGATTCCCAAAGTTAGTAACTTCAAGCAACAGTTTATTCCATAGTTTGGTGGTTTGACCAGTTTTATTTCGTGATACAGGTCTCTCAGGTGATTACAAGTCAAATAGCAGTAGGACTAAAGTCATCTGAAGGCTCCTATGGGATGTCCACATAAGGTGGCTTCATTTCTCCTCTCCCTCTTTACTTGTCTTTTCAGCCTCTCAGGGAATTGCCACTTGGCTTGGTCACATCGTAGTTTAATGACTCCAAAATAGTTGCACTTCTGTGAGAGATGACTTCTAAGAAGCAGGAAGTAGAACCCTTGATTAGTATTTTAAGTACTACACCCAGAACTTCAGAGTGTCATCAGCGTCTTAGTTTATGGGTCAAAGCAGTTAGCATACATGCCCATATTCATCAAAGCTACAGTGAGTGTCCTTCATATCCCAGATACCAGGCTAGTATATAGTGATTACAATACAAGTAAGTCAAGATATCTGCCAGTTGATACTTTCAGAAACTGAATCACATCCTGTTTCATTCTCTAAGTCTTATTCACAAGAACTGCTGTTAAGCTACTCTTTGATATTTACATTTATATTTTTAACTATATCATAACTTTGCTTTCATGCCTATAAAACACTAATTGATGTCAACATACTTTATATACAACCAAAGATAAGGAAAATTGTTCTGTATATGTGTAATAAGAATTGTAATATATTCCAATGTATTTTTTTAAAAAGTCAATAAAAAATAAAAAGCCTTAACCATAAAAAGTGAAGTACTAGTAAATGATATACATTCATGAACCTTAAAAATTGTAAGTTAAACCATTCATAAAAGAGCATATACTATGTTATTACATTTAAATAAAATATACAGGACAAGCAAATCCACAGAGACAGAAGGCAAATTAGTGGTTGCCAAGGCTGGAGGAAATGAGTATTAACTATATATTGGATTTAGAATTTCTGTTGTGTTAGTCAAAAGTTCTGAGACTAGATGGTGTTGATGGTTGCAGTAAAATGGAAATATGCTTAATGCCATTAAGTAGTATACTTTTAAAAATGGTTTATACGATACACTTTGTGTTTTTGTATTTTATACCACAATAAAATATAGTGAAAAGTGAAAAAAAGAATTATAATATATTCCGCTGTCATATATAAATAAAAAAATTAATTAAAAAAAAACAAATACACCAAATGGAATATATACCTCTTTATCTTACTACTGGACACCTTCTTAAGGCTAATGTTGATTCATCAATACATCCCCCCAAAAGTTGTTCAAACCTCTGTAAATCTATTACCGCTAGTTCATATTTCTTGGAACAAGAAAAGCATAGAAGACTTTCTCAGTTACGGTATTTGTCATATGTGATCTATGAAAAACTGAAATAAATTACTATAAATACAAATTTAACATAAGTGAAAATTGACTAGTTGATCACTTGTTTCTATGTTAGAGCTTTACAAGAAAATTTGTTTTATAACATTTTTGCATTTTGCAATCTTTTCAAAAAATTTCACAGACTTCTAATTGATACAAATCAACAAACAAAAAGGAAGTTTTCTGTAAGACAAGTTCTCCCATATTTGAACCCAACATAAGGGTTTAAGGCTATAATGTCTTACATGAAAACTTTTCAGATGAGACAAATACTTGACTTCAGCTTTGAAAGCATATAATTTCCCAAGATACAGACATACATATTTGGTTTCTGGTAGCCAACTTTACTTTCTATTTATTTCTGCACTTGTGAATTATTATTTTATTTTTCCATTTACTTCTGCATACTATATAATATGACAAGCATTATAAAAGCAAATGAACAATGTTATTTCCAAGTTTAATACCACCAAAAGCTATACAGCTTCATTCCTCTGCTGAATCAGCTCATTCTACGGTACAGCTTGCAATTTGGGGATCTGGTACTTTAGAATTCCACAGAAGCTGCCTGGATGAGTATTCATGAAGTTCTCTGCTGTTGGGGATTTTCACACTCTGTAATATACTTCTCAATGGGAAAAACAGAAGACTATTAGAGCCTGTTTTGCTGTGGGGCCTGGATAAAATTATATCCTATTATCCATTCCATCTCTAAAGTATCTCTCAAATATAAACTAATTAAAACAGACAATTTCATTAAGTAACTTGCTTAGAGATAGTAACTGTAGTTTTTCCGAATTATGTGAACCCACTACAGACTGTTAAAAACCTTGATGGCACCTGGTAAATTTTACCCATCTATAACTTTATGAGTATTCATATATTTTACTGCCTTGTGTGCTCTGTAACATGTGGGGAAACTAAGTCACAAGACTTAACCCCGTAGATCAGGGATGACATTATCCACAGCACTGAAGTTGAAGGTTTTCCAGATTCTACTCATGACTCCTACCCACCAGACCATAAATTCTACTTTTAAAAAATCATTAAATTCCCCTTTAGTTCAAGTGAAAGAACAGTTCTTTTTAGACATAGAGGTCTTTGGTTCAAGTGCCAAAATGGAAGGATTTGTCATAAAACTACAAAAGGAACTTTGATTAAAGAACCCCTAATGAAGATCTGACATTTAATCTGCTCTTTTATTGGATAAGATCTTTAAATATTCTCTCCTTATGATTTCAATTCATATTCATTTGAAATAGTACTTGATCATAGGAACGTGACTGTACACTGCTACTAAAAGATAATTAAGCAATATGCTCTGCCAAGGACATCACTACCCTGTAACATCCGTCATCCCACTCGGATAGTTAATAATTTCAGTAATGTTGCCATGACATTATAATGAGAATGTTTCATATCCTGCAGCTCCTTTGTCAATTGGACCTGCGCTAAGGTCAAATGCTGGCAGCTTTGTAATAAAACTTTCATATGTTCGCCGTGCCCCTTCTGAGGGGTTTCCTCTCAACATTAGTAAAGAAAAATGCCAACAGAGCTTACTTGGTACTTAGGCTCCTAAGGACTGTCTCCTCACCCTCCAATTACCCTCGTGAACACTCTAACGACTTGTGTGAAGAAAAATAACAATGGTGTGAACTTATATAAAGTACCAAGTAGACCACGTGCATTATCTATTAATACAGATACAGGTTTAGTAACACAATATACAAAGAAATGGAGATGCATTTTAAGGGATAATTTTAAAATAAATAGTCCCATGAAACTGATTTAGGGTTGAAACTCTAAGCACTTTTTCTTTTCGCTTTTTTTCTTTTTTGCTATTTCCTGTTGGCTAGAAATTAGTACAAAGTCAAGGAGAATTCCAAATTTGAAATTCTTCCTTAAACCAAATTAAACTCTCAAACATCAAAAGTAAAGATAGCAATAAGAAAATAACAATGAGAATTTGATCTTCCGAATTCCAGTCAACTGCTGTGTGTGTGTGTGTGTGTGTGTGTGTGTGTCTGCACACACGTACGTGTGTGTTTATTTGCATGAAGATGACAGGAAGAATGTATCAGAAAAAAAACTTACTTCCATAGTCTAAAAGAAAATGCAATTCATATTATTAGTATTTTACATTACTGATAAAACAGTACTACTAGATGTTAATCTGCATTTGTGTTTTTAAATTAGCCCATATTTGGAAAGATGTGACCTTTTTGCAAACTTTTATGAGGATAGAAAAGACCCCAGGATTTACTTGAGGACCTCTAAACATATAGGGTATACATACTTGCATTCAAAAAGTGCCATAGATGGGCTGGGGTTGTAGCTGGGTGGAAGAACATTTGCCTAATGTCTGAGGCACCAGGTTCAATTCCCAGCACCACATATAAATAAGTTAAATAAAGGTCCATTGACAACTAAAAAATATTTTTTTTTTAAAAAGTTCCATAGAAAAGACATTCTATTGACTCTATGGGAATAGAAGTTCCTATCCTAAGATTTTTCAACTACATATTCAGCTGTTAAAGTCTCAGGCACATGACCACGAAACATTAGATAAATATATATTATATGTATATATATATATATATATATATGTACATATATGTACATATATATATATAAATGAAAAATGATTTAACTGTATTGCATTTTTGTCACTGAGAAAATAAAGAAAAGAAGAGCCATCAACAGCATTTTCTTGCTAAGCTCAATTTTTCTTCACATAATAAGTCATTGTTGTCTTTCCAGGTTAGAATGGAAGTGTGAAGTTTTTTCTTATTTTTTTTTTATCTCTAAGAAGAAATGGAATCAAATTGAACATCACTTAGATCACTCATAGCGCATATCCCAGGAAATTGTGTCAGAAAAAAAAAAAAAAAAGATTACTTCTCTCACCCATTCCTGAGTTCATGGTAGAGGCCCCTATTCCTTAATGAAGGTGAAGGGGAGGGAGTAGATGTGCAGACTAGGACCCAGATGTCTTTCACCACTCCCTGTTTCTGACATCCTTTGCGCTGCCAAGGGTGAGGGGCGCAGAGGAGACTGGAAGGCAGGTTACTCAGAACGTGCTGTGTCCACGAACCTCTTCAATCTGGAGGGAGTGGTGTGCCGACTAGACTTGTTTGTTCAGATGTGTTCCTGTGTCTTCAGAGATCTGATGGCACCTTTAACTACAGGGTGGCACCTTTCACCCAGTCTTATTGTTGCCGGGGAAGTTCAGAAAATTCTTGTCTAGGTTTTGTTGCATAATTCAGGGGAGAAGGGCAAATGAAGGTCAGAGTAACCTTCCTGCTTCTGCTGTTCCTCCCAAGCCAAGATGCCAAGCTTGGGGATAGCATGTCCTGAACCTTATCGACTGTATCTGATTTTACTTCTACCCTCCTATCAGACTCCATGTCCCATGAAGCCCACTCGTCTCCTCTATGAATCCCACCTCCAGACACAGAGGTTGGTGCAACCATCAGGAATAAGTGTTGTACCTCGGGACCCAAAGATGGAAAATTTTTCAAGGTCAGACTCTAAATAAAATTATAAATATATAAAAACCAGAAGAATTAGGCAAAAGCAAAAGTCTTTTTAAAAACTAGAATCACTTCTAATAGAAAAAATCAAATCAGCAAGACAGAATTTTTCACTTCATTTCAGCAATCATCAGAGTGTTACATGAATCACATAAAAGATGCCCCCAGAAACCTTGAAGAGTTCCCTCTCTAAATAAAGGCAACTATTTTCCTGTGAAGCCCATTACGTCATGGAAGTACGTTTGTCCTTTTTATGAAAGATGTATGAATGTTCCTGTTAATTAATGTGGTCTCTTCTAAATTGTAAATGAAATATTTTCCTACACTTAACCTGATTTTTTGTCCTTTTTTTTTGGATGGGTTTATCTTGG